TGGGTTATTAAAAATGTATGATATGAATCTTCCCACTGACAGGATATGCTCATAATACAGGTTACATTATTGTGCATCAAAACAATGTCTTCTCGGGATTGCTTATGTAAAATCCAGCTTGTAATACACCATGTATATTGACATCTTTTCATGGATCTATTAGGCTAAAATAATGTGCGATGTCATATCTTAACAGCTTTATGAGCTATGCCTTGTGAATTTGTTGGCCCAATATTATACTGACCATTGCAGACCAAGACAAGAGCTACAGTTTATATGCTCTGTGTGGTTCAATGCTTCACAACCCATTTGCCCTACACCTGCAATAATTCTGCAAAACTGTCAATAAAATTGAGAGTAGACATTGAACATGATCTGTCTATTAGGGTTTCTCTACAAATGTGAACTTCTCAAGTTGTTTTCTCACTCTGAGTCACACATCTCCACTTCAGTACCACCTACAAGCACCAGCTATTCCGGTCTTTTAATTAACAATATTTGCAATATCGTAAGATAATATTATTGGAAGGATTTTGGAAGAGATTTTTGTTTAATTTCACTAAAAGATATGTGTCCAACCTTCAGCCAGTGTTCTTTTTACTGCTGCTGTTGAGAGCAGTTTTTGCAGTACACAGTACACTTCTTATCCAGCTTTTGTATACTGGTCGTGTGGGAGCACGGGTTACGTAGATCTGTACAGGCTTTCACTGCTGCTAACTGTTAGGAAGGAGACTAAAACTTAATTATAAAACCACTTCATGCATCTTTTATTTAGATTTTCGTTGTGCTCATTCTTTAAAGGTACCTTGTGTCATTTCTGTGTGGAGGGTCCACTACTTGCTTTTCTCCATGGAGATGTTATTTTTTGCCTGAAATGTTCCATAGTAGGGGATTAAACATATCTCCCTTGCATTTGTTCAACTACAGGTGTTTTATAGCTCAAAAAACTATAAAAAGGTGAATTGCTACCATGTGCAGGCTCGCTTTCCATAGATCTGACCATTAACCTGCCTCCATTGTGATTACCAAGTTTATTTCCATACTGTGGAATAATCAAGGCGAAACAGTACTATCTCCATGGAGACAAGCAGATGGTGAACTCTCCACCAGGAGCATTACATACAGTAGTGCATAGTGTAAAGTCACCAAAATGTTGCACAAGCTATTTATGATAAACAGTGAATGAAGCCAGGGGGATCTACTGGAGAGTGAGCTCCTCTGGTCTGATACATTTTAAAAATGAGAATCTGTAGTCATCACTGCATTTGGGTGTCAACCTTTGAGACTATGGCATTCATTTAAAATTCCCCATATCATTTGGGGACCCCCTGAAATCACTTTGCAACCATCACGAGGACCTCAACCCTCAGGTTGAAAATCATTTGTCTAATTTAATTAAAATCAGCTAAAACACTAAGGCACAGAACCAAGAATCAAACTAAAATGTTAGAGGCAGTTCATGATGTAAATAGGGGTCTGTGGTGCTCGTGCACTCTTGGTCATATGGAGGACTGTTTGGTTAATTTGTTAATGTTAAAAATATTACTGACACATACATTTTGTTCAGTGAAACCTTAAAAGCCTGATTTGATAATTGGGGGCCTGCGCTTTCTGGATGAACTGCTGTGAATCAGCATCACAAAACACTTTTTTTTAAATTTTTATTCCAACTACATTTAATAGCAAGTTTTTGATTCAGCACTATATAAACATCCATGATGTCTAGTTGCTCCACTGATGGGGAAGCTAATAGTACACTAAAACGGTAGACTGTAATTATGTATCAATTTTAGTCAAAGATAAAAAGGCAGGAGAAGAAATAGTTTAACACCACAGTAACATATTTTGTATAAAACATGATGATGCATCACACCAAAATGTTCCACAAGCTGTTTAATGTACAGGTATAGGAGGCTGTATGTGTAATGTGAGCTCCATTAGTGTTGGGCCTCAAGTCCTGGGATCTGTAATATTCCCTCTAAGGTGTGTGCGTGCTCACCTATTTTCCCAGGGGGACATGCTACTACTACTACTACTACTACTACTACTACTACTACTACTACTACTACTACTACTACTACTATCACTACTACTACTAGTTCTAAAAACTCACCTGTTCAAGCTGGCATGCCCGTCTTCATTTTCACATTTTCACTGCCGATTTCCACTGTTTCCTATTGTTTGTAAAGCATCTTTATATTGTTTGTAAATCATATTTATTATTATTATTATTATTATTATTATTATATTATTATTATTATTATTATTATTATTATTAAGGCTTCCACTAAAATAATGCCCTCTACATTGAATCCAGTGTCATTGAAAGAAGTGGTGTTCATTATGGTATTCCACTTGACCTTGGACTAAGCAGTGAGCATTTCAGCGGTTAAATAGTGCTGACATCGAGGATTCGATCTCACAAATATGCAAAAGTCTGTGTGTTTACTTAAACTGCTGGTGAATCAGAAAAGTGTAATATTGATCTAGATTTTTCAGCACACCATTCATAACTGTATGGATTCCTAGTCACCAGTGTTAAAGGCCACTCTAGGTGTACAATATATTTCATTTTGACAGGCAAACAACATATGCAAGGCTTTTACATGGATTAACACATATTTTACTCTCGGATTTTAATTCACTGAGTGCAAATGATTCATCTTCACAGTAACATGCACTGGAAGCCACCGTAACAGTATTGAAACACCATGGCGACCTGTTGTTATCCGATGTTTATTACCACTATTTGTCATCGTTTGCTGCAGTAGTTCAAGTTCCACTCATGCATTATTGTGTCCTTGAGCAAGACCCTTTTCCCACTTGGTATATCTCATAATGACAGAAGGATATCCATATGTTATAAATCAGTTATTGACTTGTTGCAATAAAAATAGATTAGTGTTCTTTAACTTTTTGTACAAAAGTAAACACATCTGTCTTCTGAATGTGCTCTTTCATAACATGACATTCACTTGAGTGGAGGTTATATTGAGATGAATGAAAATTAATTAAAACCGCTGTTGCATAAGCATGCAATGAAAAATGAACTGTTTATTCAAGATCCCTTGATTTCTGTCTCTCCTCCAGCATGTTGCAGGCAAAGAGATAATTTTATCATCTTTTTTGACCAAAGAGGGTGTGTAAAACAGGTGCTCAGACGGGATAATACAGCAGACCACCAGTATTATTATTGACCAGCACATTTTTTGCCTTTTTTTTTCAGATTTTTTGTCTGCCAACAAAAATGTAGGTCTATGGCGCTTCATGGAGCCTCACCTTTGAACATTGATTACACTGATCTAATTCTGGATGTTCTGTTAACTGTTCCAATGGGAAAACTGTGAATATATATCTCTCCACAACCAAGGCTAAACCAGGGCACTACCTCCCTCTTCTGTCTGGGCCGTTGGCTCCAACACAGCTGAGTGAATCTCCACTGCATGTGCCGTATTTCATGCAGTAATTATCCGCCCGTCTGCTTCTTCATGAGTCAGCAGGAGTTTTAGACTTGGACAGACTTAGACACCACTGTCTCATTACGTTTAGCAGAGGCTTCGACTTGCACTTTTTCAGAGTCAAGGGGGATGCTGCCGTCAATCACATGTTCAAAAATTAAAAGGCTAAAAGCTTTGGCTTTGGTGCACTTTCTATCCGTTTTCTAACCCAGAAGATTTGCAGTGTCAATCTAAACATTTATGGTGGCTGCTACCACCCACACTTGAAAAAATATCAAAAAAGTGTAACTTAGCAAACACAACGTGATGTCACATGCGAAATGTTTAGTTTATCACACATTACAGCATTAAATGCATTCACAAGAGGTTCTCAACCACATGTAAGTCATGTTTTTTCCCCTCTGTGCTCTTAAAATCAGCTTCAGTTCATGCACTGTGGGCTACAGATGAGACAGTAATTTAGTAAAATTTGACACATGGGACAAGTTGAGAGAGGATAACTGTAATTCAGACAAAGTTAGCTAAAATTGTTGCTATAATGAGTAAAATGAAAATACTCTTAAATAACAGTTTATTCCTTCCATACTTAAACTACTGCGTGGAAATATAAAGGAATACTTATAAATGTAATATTATTAAAATGTTTCTACTCCAAAAGAAGGTTATCAGAATTGTTAATCAAGAGAATTACTATGCGCCAGCAAATCCTCTTTTTGGTAAGTAAAATAATACTTAATTTTTTTTATCTAATTGACCCAGTGATGTACAAAACCTATAATCATATGCTTCCTCAGTGTATACAGGAGTTATCTGCGCAGAGAGAGCCTGTATAACCCTAGAAGAACTGCATCTTTACAAAAATGAAGATAAGAACTAAGAAAAAAAGTAATTCTATTTGTGTTGGAGAGGCTGGTTTATGGAACAACCTGAATGATGATTTTAAAAAAGCCATATAGTGTAGAAGACTTTTAAAAGGGTTATAAAGCATTATGTTTTGAAAGATG